TGTGGTGTGTGGATGCCTCTATTCCCCTTTTCAAGATCCATGTTGCATGGGTGCGTCCCTCCTCGCAATTCAGGTTTGCCATCGTGTGAGTGCTCCCACCCCTGCATACAGCCTCTGCAGGGGTGTATAAAGAGGCCGTGTCTCACTGTCTTGCCCAGGCTACACTGCAGGGGCTATTCACAGGCGTGATCCCACTACTGATCAGCACGGGAGTTTTGACCTGCTCTGTTTTTGACCTGGGCCGGTTCATCCCTCCTTAGGCAACCTGGTGACCCCAAGCTTCTCAGGGATCACCATATTGGTGCCGAACTTAGTGCGGACACCCAACCGGCATAGTTCACTGCAGCCCAGAACCCCTCAGCCTCCCAAGCAGCTGGGATCACAGGCACAAGCCACGGCACCCGGCTGGGTTTATGCTCTCCCACTTCCAACTCTAGACTCTGCTGGTGAGCTCTGTGCTCTGACGGTGTGAAACTGGAGCACAGAACTGAGTTAATGCTCTAAATGTTATTTGCATTGTACACTTCAAATGGGCACAAGCCACGGCGCCGGGATGGTTCACCCAGTCCCAGCTTCAGCTTTAAACTCTGCTGGTGATTTCTGTGCATTGGCCAGACGGGGGCAGCCTGGAATTGGCCTAATGCACCCACCTCCACAACTGTAATTAGACAGATGAAACAAGCCAGCAGAATTCATTTGTTTACAATAACTCACAAAATGTAAATAGCTCTCCACCACTGTCTTTCTCCTGCCTTGTTCCTCTGCCTAAGCCCCCAGTGATGTTCTCTATTATGGATTGCATTTGCTCACACTTGCTCTGTTTCTCCATTTGCTATTGAAAACAGAAACAAAATCACAGATACCCACACACTGACAGGATGAGAAACTTGGAAAAAAAGAGCCATTCACCATTTGAACTAAAGGAGACCTTCCTATGCTGAAACACATACTCCTCCCCCTCCTCCCTTCCCCAGTATTTCACAACTAGTAGATGTTTTCAGATGTTAGGGTATGGACTTTACTATCCCTTGTACTGACTACTATATAGCAGAAATCTCATTTGGTCTCTGATCCGACCCTCCCACACTCTGAAGTCAGTAGTAACTTTGCCATGAGTGCAGTTTCAGACCCACGCACTCCTAGCAGAAGTCCAGGGATGAGAAGCACACATTAACATTCTCCATATTCTCTTGCTTTGTCAAAGAAAAAAGCTTCATTCTAAACTTATTTTCTTACCAATAATAATTACGTAGTGTAAAAAAATCTTTCATTTTTATTTTGCACTGAAAAGAGCAAGCGATTTTCTTTTGCCTTTCCAAGGGGCTTCTTTGCATGCTCCATTTAGTAGCTATAAAGTGGTTGTAATGAATATTAAAAGTTCTGGTATTTTTGAAAGAATACTATAAGGATACAACAAAATGTCATACTAATGTAATCTTAAGTGAAACATGCCCTTTGTCTCTTTTTTAGCTGTGCAATCATGAAGGCAGACAATGGTGGGGTTTTGTCATGTTATCTGGTCTCAGCCTGAAGGCTGACCAATAAGGGAACACTGGTATTTTTCCACGTTTGTATTCTGGAGCCACCTTACCCACATTTCCTCTCACACTCCCTCTTATATGCAGCTATCAACACCAGGGCTTGATTTACTTCTGGTTCCTCCCCAAGGGATTTGCAAGAGTGGGCAGATTTATATTTCCAATCAGGGCATCACAGGAGCCCAGGCTGGCAGAGGCTGCACTGGAAATGTGCTGAATCTATGTATTCCTCTGCGAGGGTCCCCTGCTTTGGACCGCTTCATCAGCTGTCCCAGGCAGCTGCAGGGTCCCCCATGGAGTGAACATAAGAATGGCCATAATGGGTCAGATCGAAGGTCCATCTAGCCCAGTATCCTGTCTTCCTACCGTGGCCAATGCCAGGTTCCCCAGAGGGAATGAACGGAGCAGGTAATCATCAAGTGATCCATCCCGTCACCCATTCCCAGCTTCTGGCAAACAGAGGGTAGGGACACCATCCCTGCCCATCCTGGCTAATAGCCATTGATGGACCTATCCTCCTTTTAACTTATCTGGTTAGTTTTTGAATCCTGTTATAGTCTTGTCCTTCACAACATCCTCTGGCAAGGAGTTCCACATATTGACTATGCGTTGTGTGAAACAATACTTCCTTTTGTTTGTTTTAAACCTGCTGCCTATTAATTCATTTGGTGGCCCCTAGTTTTTGTGTTATGAGAAAGAGTAAATAACACTTTCTTATCTACAAAAAGAAAAGGAGTACTTGTGACACCTTAGAGACTAACAAATTTATTTGAGCATAAACTTTCGTGAGCTACAACTCACTTCATTGGATGCATTCAGTGTAGCTCACGAAAGCTTGTGCTCAAATAAATTTGTTAGTCTCTAAGGTGCCACAAGTACTCCTTTTCTTTTTGCGGATACAGACTAACACGGCTGCTACTCTGAAACTTCCTTATCTACTTTCTCTGTACCAATCATGATTTTAGACCTCTATCATATTCCCCCTTAGTCATCCCTTTTCCAAGATGAAAAGTCCCAGACTTATTAATCTCTCCTCATACAGCAGCCGTTCCATACCCCTGATCATTTTTGTTGCCCTTTCCTGAATCTTTTCCAAGTCCAATATATATTTTTTAAGATTGGGCGACCACATCTGCAAGCAGTATTCAAGATGTGGGCATACCATGGATTTATATATGATATGAACGATATTATCTGTCTTATTAGCTATCCCTTATCTATCCCTTTCTTAATGATTCCCAACATTCTGTTCGCTTTTTTGACTGCTGCTGCGCATAGAGGGGATGTTTTCAGAGACTTACCCACAATGAGTGTAAGATCCCTTTCATGAGTGGTAACAGCTAATTTAGACCCCATCGTTTTATACGTATAGTTGGGATTATGTTTTCCAATGTGCATCACTTTGCATTTATCAACATTGAATTTCATCTGCCATTTTGTTGCCCTGTCACCCAGTTTTGAGAGATTCTTTTGTAGCTCTTCGCAGTCTGCCTTGGGCTTAACTATCTTGAGTAGTTTTGTATCGTCTGCAAATTTTGCCACCTCACTGTTTACCCCCTTTTCCAGATAATTTATGAATGTGTTGAATAGGACTGGGCCCACTACAGACCCCGGGGGGACACCACTATTTATCTCTCTCCGTTCCGAAAACTGACCATTTATTCCTACCCTTTGTTTCCTATCTTTTAACCAGTTACTGATCCATGAGAGAACTTTCCCTCTTATCCCATAACTGCTTAGTTTGCTTAATAGCCTTTGGTGAGGGACCTTCTCAAAGGCTTTCTGAAAATGTAAATGCACTATATCAACTGGATCCCCCTTGTCCACATCCTCGTTGACCCCCTCAAAGAATACTAGTAGATTGGTGAGGCAGGATTTCCCTTTACAAAAACCTTGTTGACTCTTCCCTAACAAATTATGTTCATCTACATGCCTAACAATTTTGTCCTTTACTATAGTTTCAACCAGTTTGCCCGGTACTGAAGTCAGGCTTACCGGCCTGTCATTGCCGGGGTCACCTCTGGAGCCCTTTTTAAAAATTGGCGTCACATTAGTTACACTCCAGTCATTTGGTGCAGAGGCTGATTTAAATGATAGGTTGCAGACGACAGTTAAGTAGCCCTTGGGCGAACACCACCTGGTCCTGGTGACTTATTTACCGTTCGGTAACAAACAGTCATAAGTGTGATTTGCAAAGCCCTTCAGCCAATGCCATGCCCCTCCGGTTCTTCTCCCTGCAGGTCCCCATCGTGTGTGTGTGTGGGGGGGGGGACGACACCCCGAGCCGCACAGTGCGCCCCCTGGATGGGGCCAGACGCCGCTCGGGCGCCCCCTGCCGGCACCCTGGGGAACAGCGCCCGCCCCGCAGACACGCCCACTGCCTGGCCCTTTAAGAGGGAGCCGTGGCGTTCCACCCGCGTGCCTGTGCCGACGTGTGACCGCCCGGGCGCCTCTCCTGATACAAGACACGCCCCTTGGCCACCCGCATGCGCAGCTCCTGCCCGGGGATTTTCACAGAGATCATCCCCCTCGTGTTGGGTGGGGGAATGTTATTGGGCATGCGCGCCCGTGGCGAGGCGGAAGTAAGGCTCCAGTGCTGACACGCTAGCGCATGCGCAAATCTTGTCCCGGGCAAATTAGGCGGGATTCTTCAGAGGCCGCTCCCTGCTCGTCCGGTTGTGCTCTGACGGCGCCTGCGCAGCAACAGTCAGAGGTGGGTCTCTTGGCGGGTGAGCGCATGCGCATCTCTGAGGCCGGAGAAAAGCGCATTTGTTCAAAAGTCGAAGCACTTTGTGGGGTCGCCAAGCGCATGCGTGATAGCGGAATGGTGGTCGGGGAGGTAGATTTCCTTAGACACGGGCTTGGCTTTGCACATGCGCAGTTGACCGTGGGGGGGAGACTCCTCTGTGAGGCCCTTCCTGCCCAGGCGGATGGGTCCGGTTGTGCACATGCGTGGTTGGTTCGTACCGCCCAAGGGGCGGCGCTTGGGCCGGCGGGGCTGTGCGCAGGCGCGCTCCCGGCCGAGGGGAAGTGAAGGTGGGTTCGCGCGGCACCTTTTCCGGCGGCGGCGGCTGGGCTGGCCGCGCGAGGCGGGAGCGCCGCAGGTACGGGGCGGCCGGGTCCGCTCGCGGCAGCCGGCGCCGGGCAGTCACCGTCTCTCTCCGCCCCCTCTGCAGGCAGGAGCCGCCGCCCTCCATGAGCTGAGGAGCCGCCGCCCGGCGCGAAGGAAGGAGCCGGGCGCGGGGCCGCCCTGGGCCCGGCGGCGAAGGGCAGGGGGCTGGGCCCGCACCCGGGCGGGCGGAGGGTCCGCAGCTGACGCTTCCCGCGGGTCTCCTCACGGCGGGCTGGCGGCCGCTCTGCCGGGCTTGGCGGGGGATCGGCTCGCCCCGGCCGCTGGGGCGGGATAGGCCCGCAGGCCTCCCCCGGGAACCCGCCTCCCGCCCGGTGCGGCGCTGGGTCTCGTGTCCCCCAGGCCGAGCGCCTCGCCCCGGCTGCCCTGGGCCCGGACGCCGCGGCCTCCCGCTCGCAGCACGTGTGCCAGCGGCCGCCGGGCTCCGCTCTGCCCCGAGGGGGCCCCGTGGATGCCGCCGAGATGGGCAAGGTGCTGTCCAAGATCTTCGGCAACAAGGAGATGCGGATCCTGATGCTGGGGCTGGACGCGGCCGGTAAAACCACCATCCTGTACAAACTGAAGCTGGGCCAGTCCGTCACCACCATCCCCACCGTGGGCTTCAACGTGGAGACGGTGACTTACAAAAACGTCAAGTTCAACGTGTGGGATGTCGGGGGCCAGGACAAGATCCGCCCCCTGTGGCGGCACTACTACACGGGCACGCAGGGGTTAATCTTCGTGGTGGACTGCGCCGACCGCGATCGCATCGACGAGGCCCGCCAGGAGCTGCACCGCATCATCAACGACCGGGAGATGCGGGACGCCATCATCCTCATCTTCGCCAACAAGCAGGACCTGCCCGATGCTATGAAACCCCATGAAATCCAGGAGAAACTGGGCCTCACCCGGATCAGGGATAGGAATTGGTACGTGCAGCCCTCCTGTGCTACCACAGGGGATGGACTCTACGAAGGGCTGACATGGTTAACGTCCAATTATAAATCCTAATGATAACAATAACTACTTAGTCTGCAGATAATTAAAAAAAAAAAATAGCCTGCCTGGTTTCCTAGAAGAATGATTCTCTACCGAAAAAGTAAAAAACAAGCATCCATAGGGTTATGATCACTTCTTCTCCAGTTACCACCCTTTCCTTCTACACGCTGACTGGATTCCTGTTTAACTCTTCTTGCTTGGCGTTAGGATGCTGTAATTTCCAAATGTGACATGAACACAAGCATAGATGCTATGGCAGACTTCCAGCAAACGGGGAAAGACACACTGTAGATTTGCTAAGTAATTTTTTTCCTCTCTTGATTAGCCCTTATAATGGTTTTTTTTTTTTTTTTTTTTGCAGGGCGGGGAGGGGTAACCATTTTCAATGTATGCTTTCCGGTTCTACTTTTTTGAAATTTTTTTTCTTTATCACTTGCTGTAGATTGCTTCTTTTTGCATTCATGCAGAATATGTTGATAGGTCTGATTCATCAGTAAACTGAAAATTATTGCTTAAAATCAAACTGCAGTCTGTCTTTTTATATTGAGGACTTTTTTTTTAAAAAAGAAGTCCTTAATCTGTAACTAAATAGTAACTTTAAATCTGTCTTTTCATATCTAAGACTAACATGGTAAATAAAACCTTGCCTACAGTGGCAGATAGTGAGAATACCATTGTAATATGTTCAAAGTACATATCAGAGGTAACGTAAGAACTGCATTGAAATGTCAGCTGTGAAGTTCTGAACCATACATCATGCATGAGTAGGGATGCAAATAAGTTCCCCATATTGCATAGCAACCATATAATGAATAAAATGTGAATGATGTAATAGTTCCAAGTTATACTCTACTCACAGTTCCTATGTCTTGCATTGCAAAGTTAATGATGTTTAGCTGCAGTCTTAACTAGTTGTGTGTCAGTCTCCTCACAGTGCGAGATATCATCTTTCCAGAAAGCATAGCAGTAACGTGTAAGCATTACTGTTCCTTTTACTTTAAATAATTTACCATTAGGCAAAAATCAAGTCGTGTCTTGCCTCTCTTACAATATAGGAAAGATGCATTTGTTAATCTTGAGACTTTTGGAGACATTTCCTCTTCCAAAGTTTGAAAATCTCATGTTTTCTGAAAAGCATGCATCTTTATCAGCTGCAAACCCCCCCCCCCCCATATGGATTTGTTTCCATATCATAATTATTTGAATACACAAGCTCAGTTCTAAACTTTAACAGAAATTAATCATTTTAACTTTTGAGTAACTGGCATTTGAAGAAGTCGTTTATATCACGATTTAGTTTTTGCAAGACCACAATTTAACCCATGAAAGTCATTCTAAACATTTTTGTCCCTCTGTTTCAGTAACATTACTATAATTCTTTATGAAAGGAACTGTGTTGAATGTCTGAATTTAAATCCATTGAGTAATTAGTAATGAGGGTGGGGTGTAGAGTGAGCATATGACTATGAATGTAAACTTCCACATATAGGGAAGTTTTAAAGGGCAAGCAGCTCACTTGCCATAACACCGTTTTCAGATGTCTCTGACTGGGAAGTTATGGCAAAAACAAACCAAACCCACCCAGATTGAGAGTTCAAATCAGTGTATCGTTTCAATCAAGTATTAATACTGGGTGCAAAAAATGTAAAGCAGCTGGGTTTTATTCAGCCTTAAGGATTAACTTCAGATTTCCTCAAGGAGTTAAACTCAACTGGGGAATTCTAGGAATGTAACTCTACAAAACTAGAAGAAGAGAAAAAAAATGTTTTTTTGAGGGTGTAAGTTTTACATTAGATTGGGGCATTACACTACATTTCCGCAGTGTTGACTCTGTATGTTAAGTACAGTGTATTATGGAGCTCTTACCAAAGATCTATGGGGAGATAAAAATATTGAAGTTCATTTCCTAAAAATTTAATGCTTAGGACCCCTTGAAGAAAAATGCTTTGTTTAGAATATGGTTCCAAGAAAGGGACACTCTAAATGTGGGTTGCGGTGGCAGTGATAGGATTCTGGATGATACTAGAAAATATAGCAATGATTCAGAAACAATTTTATAAAAGGAAAAAGTTCGTTAGAAAAGCAAGGCAAGTTGAATTACTTTAAATCATAATTCTGAAGGGGAAACTAGAAGTCTTCATTTTGGAAGTCTTTTTAAGTCCTTGAATTGTTGCTCCATTTTCTAGTTTTTATAAATTCAGTAAATTCATTTCCGTTAATGTAATTGGTCAAATAGTGTGGTAGTGTAAAGGTGTATAAACAAACACCAGGGTACAATTGTTTTCTTCTGGAAAAAATATAAAAAAAGCCAAGCACAAGGTAAATGCCTAAACTGGAAGACTTGAAGCTCTATTAATAGTTTTCAAACTTTCTTAAACATATCTCAATCAAAATGAAAAATTGGATTTTCACTTTCAGTCTAAAGTGTTTACTGTATTCTTTCTCTTCAGACACTGTTTGGGGCAGGTTTAAATTTCACTAGGTTTTTACATTAAATTGAATTCACAATTTTGTATTTCTTTGGTAATTTTTGTTACTTTAGATATTCTGTTGTGTAGGTAAAATGATAAATTTAATTATACTCTTGAATTTTTAAATGTTTTATTCTGGGGGGGAAAGACTCTAAAGTTACTGGAACTTGTGTGGCAGATAATTCAAAAATAAATGACCTTTGCTACTTGAACGAAATATAAAGGCTTCATTTTCAAAATGTCTTTAGGAAGGAAACGGGGGGAGGGGGAACAATGCAAGTAATTGTAGCCTGCAGGTTAAAGTGGCAATCTTTTTTTTTATCAGAATTCTTACAACTGAATTATAAGTGCATCAACTTCTGTGTTCTTACGAATTTACGAAGTAAACTGGAGTACATTTTTTGAATGGCATTATTCTTGTCTGGTAAGTGAATGAGTCTGTAGATTTTCATCTCCCTGACCTCAGTAAACAGGAATTTTGTGTTCTCAATATGGTTGTAGTGTTGGTAAAGAACTAATGAGCAGAAAATAAAGCAATTATACAGTGCAGCTCTCCTGGTATTTTACTTATATTTGAATATGGTAAAACCAGAAAGGATCTATATAATACACTGGAGTAGTGCCTTCTGCTTACATAGAGGCCTAGGTTCTGTTTAACCTGGGTTTGAAAGATTGTAATGCTATTAGTTTCTCTTTAGAGGACTCTTTAAGTCACATAATTACAATTGAAAAGTTGGAAAGAGGAGACAAGTTTCTTTTAAAAATATTTCCACTTCCAATTACAGGCTTTTTTATTTCAGTAAACTTAATGTTTAATATGTTATGCTTTGTAAAATACTTCAATACAAGATCTCTGCCCTAAGGAACTTACATTGTAACTTGGACAAATATAATGCACAGAACAATTTACCTGCCAGAAAGCACAGAGGTGCTGATGATGAGGTGATCAGTCCTGGAAAGTTTCATGAAGAAAATGGCTTTGAAGGAGTAGAGGGAAGGGAAGGTGCTTTTTTAGATTAAGGGGTAGAATGGAAAAATTGTTATAAGAAGTCGAGAGCTGTTAGAGACTACAGAGGCATGTAAGGAGTTACAGGTAGAGATGTAAAGGAGTGAAGTTGTGTGGAGCTCCGAGGTTGAGAATGAAGCAGCTAGTTCAGCAATAAGGCAGTTAAGGAATTTGGAAGGGGAGTAGGGATAAGGCTAGAACAGTACACAAATTGAAGCTGCTAAAGTAATTTTTCAGAGTGGAGGGTAGAAATGTGATGTAACAGGAAAAGCTAACCAGATTTTGGAATCTGGATGTAGAGTGGCAGTTTTGACATGCTTGAAGATGGTTGAGTTGACATTGAGAAGGGATAGAAGAGATACTGGCCTTTGAAGTGGATATGAGACATCAAGGAAAAAGGCAACACTTTCTGGTCACCTTTCGTCACTTATGCCGAAAGATCAGGCATACACAGGTGACTTGGGAGTCATTAATATTGTCCCACTGCCTTAACCTAATCCTAAAAATCAATTTTCAAGTGCTTAGGTGTATCCAGGTGGTGTTGGTTCTAGTACAGTGACTGCAATATTTTAAAAAAAAAAAAAAAATTACCCTTCAGAACCTAGCTCAGGGGTTCTCACAACAAATTTTTTGGTGGCCTCAGAGTGCGGCCATCAACTCTTGCTGGTGGTTGCACTGACAATTTTTCCTAAACTACTTAATTAACTTTAGGAAAAACAAACAAATATGTATATATACATGTCCAAATCATTGTAATTTATTTATGTAGGGTTTTTTCAGACTCAGTCATAAAAATAACGTACAGTGGTCTCTATTCTTTACTGGACATAAACAGAATAGAAATACAAGGTGTTTTGCATGTTCTTGCATTTTTATGGCTTTTGCTTTTTTGGTTGCTCTTTTTTTTTTTTTTTAAACTTGCTGGCTAGTAAGTCTGCTGCTGTAAAACGTGATATTTGTATGTTTGTTAATATCACTTTTCACACCACACATACTCAGCCCCAGCAAGCCTGGGACAAATTAGGCCCTGGATGGGGAGGAGGGCAAGGAGGCCATGGGGCCCAGCGATGATGGTGTGGGTGGTGATCCTGGGACCAGAGCCTGCTATCATGTGGATGGAGCCCAAAGCTCCATGGCCAGACTACCCACCTGCCCTCTGGGAAAGTGGGGCATTCACCAGCTGCTTGCACCTCCAGCATTTGTGTCTTCGGAGTGGGGGCAGGGCCAAACTCCCACTAGTGGCCCTGGGAGAGGGGCCATTGCTTCTTTCCTGCCCTGTGTCCCCCATCACAGCCCAGGAGGATGTGGCCGCAAGAAAAGCCCTTCGTGGCCGCATTCGAGAAACGCTGATCTAACTTGTGTCTTGTCTATACATAAACTTGAGCCACCTTAGCTAGGGATGTGGCTTTTAAAACTGATTTAGTTAAACCGGAGCAAGTGTGCGTAGACACAACCTCAGAAAAATAAACTTGTAAATCTGGTAACATGTCATAGTTGTTGGTAAAAGTTGACATTATAAGGGTGACCATTTGTGGGTTAGATCTCTGTAACTGTGTGTGTGTTTAGCTTGAGCTTCATTTCTTAATTAAAATACCATTCTTGAATTATTATTCTTTATGAATCAGAAAAGCCTTCACCAATCTCTTTTCCAGTCACTGGAGAAAATAGGTATTTATGGATAAGGTTTGGAAGAATTTGCCTGCCACCTACTAGCCTGAATGAAGACTAACCCTGCAAACAAAAACAAAAAAACCTGTTCCCCAGAGGCATGCAGTGCCCCTCAAATTAAAGCCACATTTCCATTCATTTAAAAAATGTACTGTTCTTTATTTAAATAGCACACTGCCAGTCAATCGACTTTCTATTTACATGTTATATAAACGGTAATACTGTCAGGGCTGGTCAAATGAAAATTATATTAATTACATATCTGACAAATTGACCTGACTGGCAGTTTCACTGTTTCCAGCAGAATTGTGGGGCGGAAAAAGTAGTCAAAACTGACAAGATTGGTCAACTTTCACTTTGTAGTTTGTGGAAGGTCTCAGCAGCAGCAGAGGCACCAGAACTGTTAGGAACAACATTGCATTGGTATAATCTTGGTTTGGGTTTGTAATGTTTGCAACCTTAATGGCTAAAATAAAAATCTTAAATTACCCAGAAGATATTGGTACTTTGTGGGAAAACTTCCACTAGCCCTAGGTAAGTGTACAGAGTACTAGCATTTAATCCAGTGAGGGGTGGGGGAAGAATTACTATTCTGATACTTTAGCACTTAAGTCTCATGTTGACCTTTAACTCTTTTAAAAAAAAAAAAAAAAACCCTAGGATTCTATACTGCGTAGGTTGTCCTTCAGTACTTAGGAGTGAAGCAAATTATTTAAACAAACCTCAAATGTCAGAAGGACCATTTGAAGTATCATAAAAAGCAGGATAATTTTTGGGAGCGGCATTTTTGAAGAGATAAAATAGGTGAGCTGAATGGGTCTATCTTGTATTTTCAAGTAATCCTACTCTTAATACTTAGTGGCAAAGAGTCCTGTGGCACCTTATAGACTAACAGACGTATTGGAGCATAAGCTTTCGTGGGTGAATACCCACTTCGTCAGATGTGTAGCATGTCGGATGATACATGTCATAGCTGTTGGTAAAAGTTGACATTGTAAGGGTGACTATTTGTGGGTTAGATCTCTATAACTGTGTGTGTTCATTTTTAGCTTCTTTTCTTCATTAGAATACCATTCTTGAATTACTATTTTTTGTGCATGCATCCGATGAAGTGGGTATTCACCCACGAAAGCTTATGCTCCAATACGTCTGTTAGTCTGTAAGGTGCCACAGGACACTCTGCTGCTTTTACAGATCTAGACTAACACGGCTACCCCTCTGATACTTGATACTTAGTGTCTGTCCACGTGAGGTGATGCTGGTCAATAAATGCAATTCCAGTGCAAGAGCACGGCATGGTGGATTTGATGCCTGTGGTCTGGGGAGGAAGTTAGTTCCATAAAAGTTTGAGACAGCTGTGATGATACCTACTTTTGTAAAAAATGGAATGGAAAATAAGGGATAATGATCTTGCATATGTTTATAGTACTATAACTTCTAGGGGGAGCCGGGGGGGGAGGAGGGGAGGGGGAGAGAAATAAGAACTGGATGCCTTTCCCTATGCTGTTGGGTTATTGCCTCCAAATTTAATTTGTAGATATTCTAATAGAAAAATTGTTTCACTTCACTGGTAGCATCGAAACTATTGGTACCATTCTTCCTTGCCCATTTATGGAACTAACTATCTCCTCCTCAGAGCATGTAATCAAATCTACAATGCCATGCTCCTAAATGGGGTTCCCAGCTGCCTTTTTGGAGGCTTTGTTGAACAAAAAAGCCGGAAGTCCTTTGGTGTGTGTTCAGAGACCTCAAAAGTGGTCTCATGTAGGCACTTTTTTTGTTAGTTTAGATCTTTATTTAAGGGAAATATCTTAAAAGCTTCCTTCTGTTTCTCTGTCTCAAGTTAAATACACAAATAACAAAGCTTTTAAAACAGTCTGAATAAAAATCGCTTTTCTTTTCAATAAGGTTTCACTTCCAGTGTCATCCAGTAAGTGCTCTAGATCTTTATGGAATTGCCTAAGGCAGTGGTCTCAATGACCGGTCCGTGGACTGGCTCTGGTCCCTGAGATCTCCCTGACACAATTTAGGAAAGCAGCAAGCTGGTCCCTGGTATCAAAAAGGTTGAGAAATGCTGATCAAACGTACACAGAACCTGACTTCTTAACTTTTAAAAAGCAATTTTTAAATTTGTCTCAGGTCTATTGTGTAATCATGAAGTGCAAAAAAAAAATTCAATTTTTTCCCCCTTTTGCAGGTCACCTTTTAAGTACCTCTATCTTCTGTACTCCTAGAATCATAGGACTGGAAGGGACCTTGAGAGGTCTTCTTGTCCAGTCCCCTGCACTCAAGGCAGGATTAATGTAACCCCTAGAGTTGCACTAACTGAACCAAAATTGGTTGTAGACACAGTACTTGGGCAAGACTCAGAGGATGGCATTTCTTCAAATAGTAGGTAGAAGCATTGTTAATGGAAATATTTCTATAGAAATATTTCGGTTTACAAAAAAAGCAAATACTGAATCTCACTGCATTATTTCTAGTTCTAAAGATGAGTTCTACAGTTAAATGGGTAATGGAAATGACAGCAAAAGGAGTGAAAATTTTGTGCAGGCTCATCTAATTCCACCCCCCAAATTCTTCTTTAATTCCAAAGGAGAGTGGGAGCAACGGAGCGTCCCATGTATTGTCAATGAGAAGGGAAAAAGCAGATCTGGAAAATGTGACTGTTGTGCCATATTACTTGTGACACAGACAATTATGCTTGTATGATTAATCATATTCCATAGAGGTGCGTTTCACATTCAGGT